TTTCCCCATTTACACCCAGGGACTGCCAGCAGTTCTGCAGATGAGCTCTGACCCAACTCACCAGGACCTTTGAGGATCCCACTTTGTCCTTGATGTCCTGGATGCACTGCAGCTCCCTGTTCTGCACGGTGAAGGTGCCGCTGCAGCCCGCGATATCGTACAGGAAATTCTTCAGGATCATCTTCCCGTTCACTGTGAGGCTCACCTCAGGGTGGAACTGTGCTCCATAGAGCTTTTTAGACTCATTTGCTATGCCTGGTACACACACAGAACAAAAATAAATAAAGAAAGAAATAAGCTGGAACTGAATGCACGCCCAAGTGAAGCACGAGACTCAAAGTGGCTCTTTGGGATTTGGTAACTGCAGTGGCTTTCAAACCCTAAATTCCAAGGTGCCACAATTTCCTTTGATAATCTCTGTGTCATGTTAAAGCCCTGCTTTCAGTACCTACATTACTCCTGCTCAGTTGAACATTCATGCAATATTAAATACAAGTAACAAGTTAAGAAAGCTTTAATAATTAAACAGTGCTTGGATTGTACTGTTAGAGAGCACAACCCAAACCCCTCTGGCACTGCACACCACAGTGCAGGTCTCCCCCTCCCCTGCCATTAGGGCACAGGACATTTTATTTCTAAAGACAAACAACACATGCATGCTTTAAAATAATATAAACTATATAATGTTAACTTCAACCACATTTAAATCAGGACCATTCCTTTTAAAGTCTATTTCTTTATTATCGTGATAGCTCAACATACACACACCAGAAATTGTTAAAAACAACTCATTTATTTGGCAACTAAATAACAAGAGCTATTACTCGGTTCCCATTTGGTTCTAAGTACAGTCTGCCATAATTCTTTACTTAACCAAACATTATCAGAAGACAAATTCAGGATAAAATAAATACCTGCTATGATGTTCCCAGACTGTGCCACCACTTTGAATCCATCAGCTACTTTATCCACGCTATCTCCATGAGTGAGGAGCACAAGCTCTTCCTTCTGAAGGCCCCTAAACCAGGATTAAAAACTCGAATCAGTTCAAGAAAGAACAAAGACCTATCTCCCTGCCTTTCCAAGAGATGCCCCGAGGGATTCCAACAAAAGCACATCTCCATAGACCAGGACATTGGAAATGTCTGCAGGATTTCCTTCCCAGCAACAGCCACCTGCAGCTTGGAGATGCCTCCCTTGGGAGCTGCCCAGGTCTCTGCCCAACACAGCCCTCCTGCAAGAGGGAACTGATCTGAATTCTGAAGGGTTTGTGGGTTTCTCCTTCTAAACACCCTGAAGTCCCCTGCTGGACATGGGGAGCCATCTGGAGTCAATCAGGACACTGGCAGTCTTTTTACTTCAACAAAGTGAACTTTTATTGTTCAAAACTCTCTGTTGTCAGGACAATTTGGACACATCAGACATTTCTGCAGAAGCCCTACAGAGGTAAGATAAGGAAACTGGAACACCAGGGATGAGTCAACTGTCAACAAGGAACTTGAAAGCCATCAACAAAATCATCAAAAAATCAAATTCTGGTTTATAAAAACATCACAAAGCAATTTTAAAGGAAAGTAGAAGAGGAACGAGTTTGAATTTTCTGTGCCCTTTCCAAAACTGGATGGGCACCAACAAATACAAGAGCAGTGCACTGCAGGACACAGAGCTTAACTCAAATATTCTCAGATCATGGTGCACTCACACTGTCACAGTGAAGACTCTGAAATAAAGAGTTTATACAATATTTCCAACAAGTGCACCTGCTTTTTTAAAGCAAATTGGAAAGTTATCCCTAGGTATTTGTGTCAATGAGTAACCTGCTTATTTGTGACCCAATTGTGAAAGTTTTATTAGAAATTACCAGCTAATTTCACTCTTTTTTAAGAAAATAACCTTCCTCTCCTCCAGACATGGTTTTGCAGACTGACACTATTCTGATACCTGGAAATGTGGGAGCACCTGAAGACTGAGCAGGTGTTTGTCCATAATTTACTAAAATTATTTTACTTCTTAAAGTAAAATAATTTTAAAAAGTTACTAGCTATTTTTACTTCTTAAAATAAAATCAAAAACCTTCCTCTCATCCAGACACCATTTCCCAGACTGATAATGCTTTGATAAATGTGGAAATGTGTGAGCACCTGAAGAGTGAGCAGGTGTTGTCCAGGGTGATGCTGAACACTCCATCCTCCCGAACGCTCTTCTTGTGCACTGTCCCTCCAAACACCTTGTTCATCATCTGCAGAGCAAAAGGACTCCATGAGGAAACCCCTCACAATCTGCACCACTCCATCCCTCACCAGGACTGGCAGCACCTCACCACATCCCTGCTGTTTTCCAAAGTTGCAGGAATTCCCTTTGGAATGAATCCCTGCTCTGTACCAGGCTTGTTCCCCTCTGCCAGCACAGCTGGGGACAGTGCCACACACAGGGAGCAGAACCCCACAGGCAGAGATTTGCACAATAATCTGTATTCCACAGTGTGCAGCTCCTTCCCTCACAAACCAGCTCAGTGCCCAAGGCCACGGCAAAAACCTGAATTTATTCCCTCAGTTCTGTCTTGTGACTAACCCTGGGAAAAACAAGATGCATGAGCAGAAGTCATGCACCTAAAGCAGCCTTTGTCTCCGTGGAAGTTTGTTTTGTTGGAATCTACCAGATCCCTGCAGGATCACCACTAAGTCCAAAGGTAAGTGTTGTTTCTTTATTTCTTTTTTTGTGAGGGAGTGTTAAGCACTGTTAAGAGCTGTGCTAGAAACAGCCCCTGCCTGGGACACTGCTCCACTTGTTTCCAGGAGAGGTGCCTTTCTCAGCACCAGCTGGGCAGAATTAATGAGTGACTGACAGGCTGTATTTACTCTGACTAAAACACGGAGTGTGGAACTCAATTCACAGCACTGCAGCAAAGAAAAACCATTTATGCAACTGATCCCAGACTGGTTTGGGTTGGAAAGGACCTTAAAGCTCATCCAGTGCCATGGCAGGGACAGCTCCCACTGTCCCAGGCTGCTCCCAGCCCCAATGTCCAGCCTGGCCTTGGGCACTGCCAGGGATCCAGGGGCAGCCACAGCTGCTCTGGGCACCCTGTGCCAGCCCTGCCCACCCTGCCAGGGAAGAAATTCTCCCTAATCTCCAATCCAAATCTGCCCTCCTTCAGTTTAAGGCCATGACAAGAGAAGGCAGAGCCAAGAGAGGAATGCACAGGTTGATAACTGAGGTTATCATGTGAATGCTCCTGTGGCACTGCCTCTGTTTGGAAAGCAGCTCCTCCAGCTCTGCCTCTTCAGGTCAGGTGGCTGTGCACAAACAGATTTAATGGCTGGACTGGCTCCTGGAGATGTTCCCAAGCCCAAGGACTCAGTGTTATCTCCCAACAGCACCTGCATCCCATAGCAGATCCCAAGCACTGGTTTTCCTATTGTGAATATGGCTGGGTCGAACCATGGTGCATCTTCTGCATACACAGAGTTTGGTCCTCCAGATATGATGATGGCTCTGCAGACACAACATGAAGAAATCATTAATACAAATACACTGGTTACTTTGACATCTATTTACTCTGAGCATCAGCACTATCTCATACCACTCTTAGAACTGATACTTTATTTAACATGGATATCAAAACATGTAGCTTGAATTTTGCTGTCAAACCCAGCAGGTTTTCAGAGAGGGATTTCTCCATTTTAAACATAATCAAATATAAACCCTCATAAAAAGTGCCTGTATTTTAAATTCCTCATAGCCAACCATCAGCTATGAGAGAAGCAGGATGGCTGGGACAAATGTAGAGTATTAGCACCAAGATATGTATTTTTATACATATATATACACACACACACAATTTATGAAGTCTGTGACATCTGCAGGAGACCTGCAGTCAAAAAATCCACTCCCTAACTCCCAAATCTGCTGAGAAAAAAGTCCCTTCATCCATTCTGGTTATGCAGAGATGGCATCAGCAACAAGCTGAGAATTACAAGTGCAATACACACGATCATGTAGGGTTTGGAGTTATTACTTCACACAATAAAAGAAAATTAAACCATCTCAAAGGAGAAGAGAGGGTTTTTGCAAACCATAACGATTTACAAGACTAGAAACTGCAGAAGCACCAGTTAGGCAACACTTTTGGCCTTAGCCCAGGACCAGACCTTGGACTCAGAACTGTTTGTCCCACAGAGAACACCAAACTTGTTCCGAGCCAGAAATGCAAAACCAAACGAGACAGAAGTTGCACGAATGGAATTAAATGTATCTAATAATTCTCCCAGCATTAGCTGCATGCAAGTACTGACAAAGCAGAGCTTTTCTGGCTCTGAGCAGCAGGAACAGGCTGCCCAACACCTGTACCACCAACACCAAGAACCCTGCAGGACCAAGGTCACCTGCAGCCCCTCCAGCCCAGGAGGGATGGAGCTGGAAAAGCAGCATTTGTTTCCCTGCCTGCTGGGATGTCCAGGCCAGCTCTGGAACCAGCACAGCTGACGTGGGTGTAGTTTTACACATCCTGAAAGCTCCTCCCTGCTGTTCTTGCACAGGCTGGATTTCCTGAAGCTGAACTCTCTCCACGGCTGCTGGTGTCACTGCTCCAAATAACTCCATGCACAGAAGCATTTGCTCAAGTGGCAGATGTACAGAACTCTATTTAATATTAATCAGAATCACAGAACATGTTCCTGGAGCTCTGGCAGCCCTGGGGCTGTGCCCATTCCCTGGGGAGCCTGAGCAGTGCCCACCTCTCTGGGGAAGAACCTTTCCCTGATATCCCACCCAACCCTCCCCTGACACAGCTCCAGCTGCTCCCTTGGGTTCTAGGAAGGAATTAAAGGAATACAGCCACACCTATAGATGGAACATTCTTATGGCAAGTCAAAATAGTTACACACTGTTCTAGTCAAAAAGTGAAGTCTTAAAAACCTGGGTTTTTTTCCATACCAACTGAAAATTTGACATAGAGAGAGGTTTGCAATGTGCCCAAATATTGAAGTAAAAAAAAAAAAAAAGAGTTGAGGCTGAGAGAAGGACTTGCATCTTCTCAGATGTGCAGGAGAAGTCAGAACCAGCACAGGATGCAGACTTTGCAAGCTTTCCTGCAGCACTGTGTAATTTCCTGTACACCTGTCTGTTTTGGCATGAATATCCCCCCTTTCTCTGGTTTACCCCAAACCCCTTCCCAAACAAGCTGACCCAGCTCCGGAGAGCCCCTTTGCACTGGGACCACAAAAACACCCAGGGGAAAAAGTGTGCATTGATACCCCAAGGTCAGAACTCCTGCCAGAGCCCAGACTAAACCCAGAGCCAGGATCTTGTGGGAAATGCTCACGTTCATGTCACATTTAGGTGACACTTGTCACTAGAGTGCTCTGAGCACCGAGGAGCTGGCTTTTTAAACACAACGTGTAAATGTGATTTAGCAGAACACGGGCTCTTGCTGCCCATCTCAAAGCTCAGCACGGCCCCAGGTTCAGCTCCTCAGCCCATTCCATGCAAAGTGGGGACCTGACTGCTCCCAGGACATGGAACATGCACCAAAACCCTGCAGTAAAACTGGATTTTACAGTGAGCACAGCTGTTGATGTGCTGGGTTTGTTGACTGAGCAGCACCGGACACAAACAGGTTTTGTGGACACACAGTTATTGACCAACGTGGGTGACCTGGAACCACCACCCCAGCCTTGAGCTGTGACCTGCAGCAAGAGGCTGTGCCACATTTCACAGAGCAGCTATTTGCAAGGACGAGTCCTACAGGTCTAATCCCAATACTCTGAAGAACTTTCATCTGTTCTCGAGTTCCTCCCACTGCAAACCTGTATCAACACACAAACTATTTACTGCTTCACTAATTAACATTGATTGGAAAAATGCATTTCTGCAGCACTGCCTTATCTGTTACAGAGCACAATTAAAATCTCACGTGCACTGCATTTCTGGATTTGTACCAAACTGACAAGTAAGTACAAATCTTTGGTGATTTGTAGACTTCAGGGTATTTATTCTCCACCCACAGAAGAGATGTATATCCTAAAAAGCCTAACAAAACACGACAAATTAATGTACAAAGAACTAAGTAATTGTGAGACCTTTCTTTGCTGCAAACAATGAATGGCAGTGTCAGCTAGAGGTTTTTTTAGCTTCTTCCCAGAAACATCTGGCACAATTTACCACAACACCTTCTGCATCCAAGTTAGTTAGCTTAAAAAAAAGAAAAGTAAAAAAAAAAATTTAGAAACCCACAAAAAATTCAACATGTAAAAGAGTAAAATCATCTATATTTTGGCAGATACTTAAAATGCTACCTCTTGAATGATACTTTGAAATTATTAAATGACATTAAAAAACAAATGTACAACATGGATCTCTGCCCAAGTGTCCCCAGCACAGCTCAGGGGTTTCTGCAGCTGTTGCATACAGGTAGGGATAAAAGAAAGGCCTTACAAAATATGGTTCAGGCCCTGCTACTCTAGCTAAGCTAACAATTAGCTTGCAACCTCCCGTGTGAAAACATAAGAATGAAAGTCAGTTAGGACAATAAACTATTCTTGTAGAGAACAACAGTCTGCACCTGTAAAAAACAAGAAATCTGTCCCAAGGGAGTCAGTGAAGAAAATATGTAAACTAACCAAAAATAGAGAGATTTCACAGACATACACCCTGGCCATTTACTGACCAATAAACTGAGTGTCAGTGTATAGTGTTAGCCAGTGAGGCCTGACACAGTGCCTGCTGATACTTCCTATAAATCTGAGCTTTGTGAATAAAGAATTGGCTTTACCTGCATGAAGAAACTGAGTCCCACCTGCTCATTACTCCAACACACTCACATGGAATCACTGACACCACTGGCACCAGAGCCACTGCCCAGGAGAAGGCAGGGGTGAGTGTTGGAACCCAAAAACCTGGGAGTTTTAAACATTGCTTTTTGGCACTGACCCCCAGGAGAGTACTGCTTTTGACTTGAGGCCTTCGAGAAGGCTTCCAAATTTGAGTGATGGAGTTAAAATCATGGTAAAATGTAATGTAATTTCACATGGCAAAGGGGTTGCAATTTTAGGTTTTTAGAATATAATAATTGGTATGAGACAAAATGGAAGTTCCTAAGCATCGCCCCATCTTCCTTTTCTCGTTCCTTCTTCTTCCTAGTTTCAAGTAATAATTTTTGGTTGGATAGTGCTGCACTGCAAGTCACAAGTGTTTAGCTATTAAGTCAAAAGCATAAATAACGTGTTAGCTCTTTATTAAACCGTTTAGCTCTAATAAAGCTAAATTCAGCTCCATTTTGCTCACTTTTAGCTGGCAGCTCGAAGCGCTGCAAAGCTCTCCGTACTTCTGACAAGATTCAACAAACAACCGAGTCCAAACACAAAACCCAGCTCCTTCGTGGGGGCACGGAGGGGGGCACGGAGGGGGGCACGGAGGGGGGCGTACCGGAATCCGTGCTCACGGATGGCGAAGGCCGGCGTCTCCAGCGGGAAGATCTCGGACTGCACGAAGAGCTCACGCACACGCCGGTCGATGACCTTGCCGTACTGAGCGCCCGCGTCCAGGATCACCACGGCGCCCTCGTAGTGGTGCTGCCCATCCTTGAGCTCTGCCCCGGCGTTCTCGGGCTGTCAACGGCACCCATGTCAGAGATCCCAGGGAACCGCCGACCCCCGTGTCAGAGATCCCGGGGAACCGCCGACCCCCGTGTCAGAGATCCCGGGGAACCGCCGACCCCCGTGTCAGAGATCCCGGGGAACCACCGACCCCCGTGTCAGAGATCCCGGGGAATCGCTGACACCCACTCAGAAATCCCATGGAGTCAACACCACCCACGTCAGAGATTCTGCGGTGTCATCCACATCAGAGATCCCAGGAAACCACCAACCCCCACGTCAGAGATCCCATGGAGTCACCCACACCAGCGTTGGGAGATCTCATGGAATCACCGACTCCCACGTCAGAAATTCCACGGAGTCACCCATACTCAAGATCCCACAGAATTGCCATCACCCACATCAGAGATCCCACGGAACCACCAACTCCCACATCAGACATCCCACAGAGTCACCCATATCCATGTCAGAAATCCCGCAGAATCACCCACGCCAGAGATCCCACGGAATTGCTGTCACCTACGTCAGAGATCCCACGGAGTCACTCAGACCCATATCAGAGATCTCACCAATCTCCACGCAGAAATCCCACGGAAACACCGACACCCACTCAGAAATCCCATGGAGTCACCCACATCCATGTCAGAGATCCCACAGAATCGCCGACACCCACTCAGAAATCCCATGGAATCGCTGACCTCCACATCGGAGATCCCACGGAATTGCAGATACACGAGGCTGGACAAGCCCTCTGCCAGTGGCCCGAGTCCAGCTGTCCACCCAGCCCCACCATGGTCACCACCAAACCGAGCCCCCCCAGGCACCACTTCCACACATTTCCAGAACCCTCTCAGGGATGGTGACCCCAGCACCGTCCTGGGCAGCCCCCCTGGGTGCTTTACAAACCTTTCTGTCAGGAAATGTCTTTTGATATCCAGCCTAAACCTCCTCTGGCTTCACACTGACAGCCCACTGACTAAGCCAGATCTCTTTAACAGCCAACGTGTGCAAGGCTTTGCTAATTAGCTATGCTAATTTATGATAAAAATGATAAAGACTAGCCAAGAAACTTCAAAATGGAAAAAAAAAAAAAAATCTTGACGATCATAAGGACCAGTTGAGGCACAGGCAAGATAAAGGCACTGGAACCAGCACAGAGCATCCACCCCAAGCATGCACGAGATCCCCATCCCCCAAACCAAACAGGGCACAAATTAGGGAAGAAAAATGCTAATGATCTAATGAAGGCAGAGCTTTCCACAAGCAAGAGCTCATATGCCCTGATCACCATCTGCAGCCTCTCCATCTTTTTCCATTTTTCAGTTCTATATGAACCCCAGCACAGCCCATGAGAACTGAGAGCTTCAGTCTTTTTCTCAGGCAAAACAGCACAAAATCAAACAAAAAAAATGTTTCTCCCCCGTCACGCTGCCTCATATGCTGAACTTCACTTGACATTACCTCCTGGAGAGAATAAAAAGGGGAAATTGAGAACAAATGTCGCTGCTAAATGATTAAAATAATAATAAAAAAAAATACCAACACATTTTGAGCATTGAGCAGACTGCACGTCAGAACAAAGCAGTGGTTCCCTCTGAGCCCCTCACGTCTGAACTGCCTGGCCAACTCTGGCTAAATCTGAAAGAGTGCTAAAAAACACAAGGCCAAGTTTCTTCATTAAAAAAAAAAAAAAAAAAAAGTGAGAAGAAGCAGCTATTCCATGTAATTGTCCTTAGCAGAGCACCTCCAAGGGAAAATCAGCAGCCATGCTCCAACACCAAAAATCTGCTGCCTAAAGAATTGACTTCTCTTAGGGTGCTCTTCCCCTAATTTGAAGCTTACCCTGTTTCCTTGCCAAAGCAGCTTGGGGAAGGACAAACTGGGAAGGGTTTTACTTTGGCAAACGCTGCCTCCAAACTTCCTGGAGCTCCATTTCAAGTTCTACTGGTGGCAGGTTGGAGTTCTGCTGGTTTGGAGCAGGCACAGAACCTCCAGCCTGTGTTCCCATCACTGCTGCTCAAACATTTCCACCTGGGGCAGGAATTCACCCCAGACCAGGCACAGGTGACCCTGAGAGCATCATCCTGCTGGGACACAACCTCCTGATAAACACACTGGAAACTTCCGAAGTTCACACCAGCTGGAGGAGGTTTTATCTTAATTAAAGAACATAAGTGGGGGGAAAAAATAGTGCTAAATCCCTCAAAAGCCTAAATCCAGGCTAAAATCAGATATTTCATTTTTGTCCTTCAGCTGGCAGCCAAGGTGCCTGATGTGGAGCTCCAACTGACTTTTAGTCCTGGGTTACACAACAAAAAGTGCACATTTTGGAGGAGAGCAGGCTTTAGCAGCAAAGACCCCTTCACACCCCAGTGAGGCAGAGTCACCAGAGCCATCCTCCCTTCCAGTGCAGGGGAGGGAATCACACTTAGAGTGATTCTGGGCATTTTCACCTGGCAATTTCTAAATTAGCAGCTCTTGCAAGACACACCAACATCCTCATTCTTTCCTGAGCCCATCCCGGGGACAACACTACTCCTTGCAGTGCTGTTTTTTTATTTCAAGTCTTTAATTGTTTCAGAACAGTAGGTTGTGTTCATTTAGGGACGGAGCTCTGCAGCCTTCTCACAAAAAAAGACTCAACACAAGTTACTGTTGGTGTCAGCTCAGCTGGACTGATAGCCAAGCATCTATATCTGTATCTAATAAATAAATCTGGTTTTCTGTGCCCTACCCCAGATGTTTTGGGCAGGCAGGTGGAGCCATGAGCAACATCTGTGGGGGAGACAGGAGTGTGAAAATAGAGAGAGTCCAAAGTTACATCAGCAATAGGTTGAGAAGCACTGTTAAAGCAGCATAAGGAGGTCTGTATCCTGAACCTGCACCTACCCCAGATCCCAGCAGAAGCAGGACAGCAATCCAGACTCCTCTGAAATAACCAGACAGGTAAGGGGGTTCAGGACCGAGAGAGCCCAACGTACACCACCATAAATCACAGGCAAACAGGGGAAACGAAAAAGGGCAGAAGAGTCATCACAGGATCTGGCTTTACTTACAGAAAGGCACAGTTCCAAGGCTAGGGGTTTTAACCCCAAATTTACCACTGGAAAACTGCATTTGAGGAACAAACGCTGCTCATGTGCAGCTGAGCTCTGTACACCACGAGTGTGCCAGCAGAGATTAAGAGGACACCAGACAGCCCAGCTCCTGCAGGGACAGATGGGGCAGAGGGAGCCAGCTCTTTTTCCCCTCAGTACAGGTAGAATTAGAGCTCTTTGTCTTCTGGTCTATTCCCAAAAAATCTGGAGAAGTCGCTGGTTTTGAGACCTCCTGTGGGAGCTGCTCTGACACCTGGCCCAGGCAGTCCAGGCACTGGGGCAGAGGCACCATGCTGCTGTCCCCAGATTGGGACTAAAAACAAGACTAAAAACTTGTGCACGCCGAGAGAAGAAAGTCTCTATTCAGCTAATTCAATTCACAGGTCACCCTGAATGCCACCCGAGATATGGCACCAAGGCCCCTCGTGCCACCTGAGCTGTGTGGTCACCCCAAAAGTGCTGCCACACCGAGGGTCAGCCTCGTTCCACCACCTCAGCTCTACCCCAGTAACACTGGAGGACAAAAATCTTCCATCACTGCTGCTCTTCTGCTGTCAAAACCAAATAATTCCGAGTTCTCCAGTGAGCTGAGGCAGGAGAACTGGAACCAGGCTTGGGCTACCAGCCAAGGACAGCACAAATCCTGTTCCTCACCTACCTGCTTAGTGCCTTAAACTGAATGTGCAGGCTCCTAACAGCCCACTTGTGCAGAATCAGGGATTTTTCAGCATTTCACACACCCACATGCTTGCAGGTTGGTCATTAACACAATTTAGAAGCCACATTTCCATACAGACCAGTCCTATACTGGAGCACTGGGAAGAAGCAGCAGCTCCTCTGTCCGAGCCCTCAGCCCTGAGCTTTCACCCACACTAGGAACTCAGGACAAGCCTAAACCAGGAGCCTTGATCTCACACTTTCAAGCCAGCACAGGTTTTACAAGAGTTTAATTGTTTCCCTGTGGTATTGAAATTCAGCAGGTCTAAGAACGCTCACTCATATTTCCAAATATAACAGGAAAGCAGCTCCCTCAAACCCAGGCCATCCCAAAGAGCAAAACAAGAGCCCCCCAAATAATTATATCAGGAAACTTTAACAGCAATGAGTTTCATGTAGGTCCTATGGGCTGCTGGGACCCGGTTCCTGCAGAAACTGCTGTCAGTCTCGCAGGATGAACCATGAGCTGCACATCCCATCTCCACTGGCAGGGAGAACTGGAGCCCCCAGGAGCAGCCCCGGCCAGGAGAGGAGGCTGGGGAAAAACGTGCCAGAAAAACGTACACAGGGACGAGCCGAACACTCAAAAAACCCTGCAGAGGTTTCTTGTAAACTAGACGAAGAGCCGAGAACAAGGGAGAGGAGCACCAGGAGCAGAGGTTGTGAATAAGGAAAACCGTGCCAGAAAACTTACACAGGGACAAACCGAGCACTCAAAAACCCTTCAGAAGTTTCTTGCAAACTAAAAAAAGAGCCAAGAAAGAAAGGAGCACCCAGGAGCGGAGATTGTGAACGTGGTCAAGGAAAACCGTGCCAGAAAACTTACACGGGGACCAGCGAGCACTCAAAACCCGAGCTACTGAAACTCCTCCAGAGTCACGGTTTTTGGCAAACTAGATAAAAAACCAGAGCAAGCGTTTAATCGTGCTACAGCAGCGGCTCGAGGCAGCTCGCAGGGCTCGGCTGAGGAGTTTCATTATCAGAAAGAGCTGTGAGTTCCCAAAGCACACGAGTCGCCCCGATGTGCCACACGGACACGTGTGTGCCGTGTCGCTGTCGCCGCAGCGGGACACGGGGCCAGGGCAGCGCGGGGAGCTCTGCCCGTACCGCCCGACGAACCGAACCGAACCGAACCGAACGGCCCCGGCAGCGAGCGGGCACACAGGCCGGGCAGGGCACCGCACAACAGCCCCGCTCGGGGAATTAATCAGTTAATTAATGAATTAGCGCTGCGGCTGCGGCGCGGGCGGTCCCCGTTCCCCAATCGGTGCCGTTCCCCTGGCGGGCCCCGCCATGTGCCCGGGCGGGCAGCACCGACCCGACCCGAACCGAACCGGGCTGGGCCGGGCCGCACCCCCGGACCCCGAGGCCGCAGCACTGACCTTGGTGTCCCCGTTGCACAGGGCCATGGGGGCGGCGGGCAGAGCGAAGAAAGGGCCGCGAGGAGCCGCGGCCGCGATGAGCTAATGCCGCCCGCGGGAGGAGGAGCCGCCCGGCACGGCCGCTCCGGCGGAAGGGGAGGAGCGGCGGCGGGGTCAGGGGCGGGACGGGGATGCGGGGACACGGCGGGGACAGCGATGGGGCTTTGCAGTCCCGGCACCCCCGCGGGGGTTCGGGCTGGCGTTGCTCTGTGATTAGGGTAAAAACAATCAGAGCTTTGCAGTGAGTGGGATTTTGCGCGTCAGCATCCTGTGGTATCACGGGATCGCTGTCTGGGTTGGGAGACACCTTAAAGCCCATCCCACCCCCTGCCGTGGTGCCATGTCTCAACCTTCCATCCGCCAGGTTGGTCCAAGCCCCGTCCATGCTGGCCTTGAACACTGAACCTGCTGTGCCTGCATTCCCCAGTGGATACCGGAGAGCGGGGCTGCACCGCGGAACCCTCCTGGAGCGGTCCCGGGGCGGTTTTGGTGCCTTTCCCTGAGCATCAGTTTAAATAGAAGGAATGGAGGAAGGGGTGAATGAAGGAATTCTGGTTAAGATGAAATCACACATCAGCGTCTGGTTCTGCTGTCAGCTTTCAAACAGTTCTGTTCTGAGGCTGATAGAAACGTACAGGTTTTGTTCAAAATCGGGGTTTCTAGTCTGTTGTTTTGGGGGATGTGTCATTCTTTTACAGTTCTATTTACATTGGCATTCAAGCAGGGTCATTTCGGAGCACATGGCACAGGATTGTGTCCAGATAGGTCTGCAATATCCCCGGTGAGGAGACTCCACACCCTCTCTGGTCTCTGCTCCAGTGTTTCTAGAAGGAAATATCTTCCTCCTGTCGAGGTGGAACTCTCTGGGCTCAGTCTCTGAATTTTTCTGGTGCCACTGCTGGGCCCCTGGAACAGAGCCTGGCCAGGGACACATGGGGACACATGGAAACACATGGGGACACCCATGGTTCAGGGCCACTCTCAGCTGGGGCTTCTCTCCAGGCTGAACAGCCCCAGCTCCCTCAGCCTTTCCTGAGCACGGAGACGCTCTAGTGATGCCGATCCGATCCCGGTTCCTGATCCCCGATCCCGGTTCCTGTTCCGGGTTCCGGTCCCGCTGCCCCTGCGGGACCATCAATCAGGGTCAGGGAGGCGGAGCTATGCATGACGTCACCCGCCGCGCACCAATGAGGCGCGGCCACGCCTGGCACGCGCGGGGTGGGGCGGTTCCCTCAGCGCGGCGGCGCCGGGGCCGCTCCTGCTGCCGCTGCCGGACATGGCGCCCGCCATCGCCGCCGAGGAGGGCGGGCGGCAGCGCCGCGCCGGCACCCGCCGGCACAGCCTGGACCTGACGGGCGAGCCGCCCCCCGACGGGCTGCCCGGCGACACCGAGGCGCTGCTGCCGACGCCGGCGCGGGCGCGGGGGTACCGCGCGGAGCTGGGCAGCATCCTGCTGCTGCTGGTGCTGTACGTGCTGCAGGGCATCCCGCTGGGGCTGGCGGGCAGCGTGCCGCTCATCCTGCAGAGCAAGAACGCCAGCTACACCGACCAGGCCTTCTTCAGCTTCGTGTTCTGGCCCTTCAGCCTGAAGCTGCTGTGGGCGCCCTTGGTGGACGCCGTTTACCTGCGGGGCTTCGGCCGCCGCAAGTCGTGGCTGGTGCCCACTCAGTACGTGCTGGGGCTCTTCATGATCTACATGTCCACGCAGGTGGACGCGCTGCTGGGCGACGGCCACGGCCGCGGCCCCGACGTGGCGGCCCTCACCGTCACCTTCTTCCTCTTCGAGTTCCTGGCGGCCACGCAGGACATCGCCGTGGACGGCTGGGCGCTCACCATGCTGTCCCGGGAGAACGTGGGCTACGCCTCCACCTGCAACTCCGTGGGGCAGACGGCCGGCTATTTCCTGGGGAACGTGCTGTTCCTGGCCCTGGAGTCCGCCTCCTTCTGCAACAAGTACCTGCGGTTCGAGCCGCAGCCGCAGGGCATCGTCACCCTCTCAGGTACGGGCGGGCACTGCAGCCTGGGTGTGCTGGCACGGAGCCGTGCAATGTTTGTTTGGAAGGGACTCCAAGGATTCCCTGTTCAGGGACACCTTCCACCATCCCAGGCTGCTCCAAGTCCTGTCCAGCCTGGCCTTGGGCACTTCCAGGGATCCGGGGGCAGCCACAGTTTCTCTGGGCACCCTATGCCAGCCCTGCCCACCCTCACAGGGAAGGATTTTTTCCTAATAATAATGGTTATATCTTCCTCAGGATGCGTCTTCCCTGAGTATGGAGCCCTCTGTGGTTTGACACTGGGAGCCAAACAGGTTTGGTTCGTCCCTTGCCCCGTGGGATAGCACAGCCTGCCTGGAGGCTGGCACAGCCCACTGCTACATGCACTGGTCTTCAGATTTTTCTGGGCTGAAGTGTGTGGGGAACCTGCCTTGTCATTGTCTTGGTTGACCTAAGCACTTTGGAAGAACTTTTTTTTTTTTCCTCTAAGTTTAATGGCCATGGACTGGATTACTCTTTAAAAAAGGCAAGCCAAAGTCTCCATCTGGGAAGAAGAGAGGAATGAAAAAAAAAAAGATTATTCCAATATGATATTTTTCACAGAATAGAAGTGAAGGTGTTCAGGGTTGAGCATGTGGCCAGTTTCTGAAGGAAGACCTTATTTTAGAAAATTAAGGGGGATTTGCTTTTCCTCTTTAGTGTGTGGCAATCCAAGCATAGCTAGCTGTTAGTGGAGGGATGTTTCTGTTTGCTGGGCTTGGGGGTTTTTCTCAGGAAGGTTCTGTGTGGTGGTTGATGTTAGGGGTATTACCCAGGAGATGCTTTGAGTGCACCTGGTTTGGCTGCAAGTTTGAGGGAGGACAGGCAATCCTGGCACCACTCTGGCTGCAGCCTCAGGGTGACCTGGCAGTGAAGAGCAGATCCTCATGGTCTCAGTCTCCTCTCCCCCTCACACTGATTGCCTTGCTCGTGTCTCAGAGATCAGGTATGCCAAAACAGGCTGGAATTGAGTGGAGTTTTGCTTTCTGTCCTGCCCCTTCCTCAGGGATGAATCAGGACAGCAGTTTCCAAGGCTGCTGTGCTTGCCTGGTCTCTGCAGCTCTCACCACTGCTAACTCGCCCTCCTCTTTGCTCCCTGCTGCCAGCCTCGTGTCAGGCCTGCAGAGGAGCACAGGGTGGCCCTCCCAGTATCCCGGCTGGTTCCTGGCTTTCTCTGGTGCTGTGCAGCTCTGGGCTGGCGTGTCCCTTCCCTCTCCCTGCAGTGCACACTGACGTCTTGGCTGCTGATGCAACTTGCAGGCACTGGTGTTCAGACAGCTTGGCTTGGCTGTACATCCCTCACTGCCCAGGGCTTTGGTTGGTTGGGTTTTTTTCCCTCTTAGGGCTGTTTATATAAATGGATTTGTTACTATTACAAAAGTGCTGTTTTTAAAAGATACTATCCCAAGCAGCACCAATGCAATGTCCTTAACTTGCCCTGGAGTATTGATGTGAGTGGAGCAAGAACAGCAAATAACTGACACTGGAGTTGCAGGATATGGTTTTTCAGATGGTGAAACTGTAAGAAATGTCTGTTTGCCAGTGTGTGACTGGCAGAGTTTGGTGTTTCCCTGAGAGCAGCAGGATTAACCAGCTCACCCAGGAGCACAGGGGCTCACTGTCCTTGCCCTGGCTGTACTGGGCTCCTGATGAGCAGGTTTGGGCAGGTAAAGCAGCAAAAAACTTCGCTGCTGGAAAAGGTGAATGTTTTCTCTCAGCTCAGATCTCTGAGCACTCTTGTCAGAGGCTGAGCCCAGTGCCAGGGAAAGAACAAGTGAACACTCCATGATCCAGAGGGACAGCACCCTGGGGGAGCAGCTGGAGCTGTGTCAGAGGAGGCTGAGGTGGATATCAGGAAAAGATTCTTCCCCGAAAGAGTGCTGGGCTCTGCCCAGGCTCTCCAGGAAGTGGGCACTGCCCTGAGGCTGCCAGAGCTCCAGGAGCCTGTGGACAAGGCTCCCAGGATTATCTTGTGCCAGGCCAGGAGTTGGAATCATCCTTGTGGGTCTGTCCCAGCTCAAGATATTCTGTGAGCCTAAGTCAGCTTTGAGTTGTTGAGGAGCAGCAGCATTCATTGTTCTCATTAACTTCAGGAAATAATATGGACAAATGTAAAACCATCATCAAATACACCAAACCAAAGGCTGTGTTGGGCTGTGGCAGGCTGAAGTGCCAGAGAAGGAAATGGGAAAAACCCTTCTGTGGGCTGATTGTCCTGGCACATCCAGGGGTTTATTTAGCACTTGCTGTTCAGGTGGATTCCGTTTTTGTAAAAGCAGAGGAGGCTCCCAGGCTGGGATTTGTGATTCCTGCCTGGTTTGCCCATTCCAGCACGAAGGACAAAGAAAGAGTGAACACAGGACAAAGGTGCCCCTTCAAGGCCACCCCCACTTACCTGTACCAGGGACTGTCACAGGTAACTGAGGGACTGTCCTGTCCCTCCTCCTGGGAGGAGATCCTGGGCACCTGCACAGTTACAGCTGCTGGCACCTCTACCACCTGGGTACCTTCCTCGTGGTTGTTCTCCAGCCTGATCCATCTCTGATCTAATTCAAAAACTTGTTTTGCCCCATCTCAGTGGTTTATTTTGTTACTAGCAGTGCAGCTGCAGAAAAAAAATGGGGATGAGGGAAGCAGCAGTGGTGCTGCAGAAAGTTTGTGCTTGAAATCCCTTAGGTGAACTCTGATTTCAAAGTTCTTTTGCTTGTAGCCTGTTAGTGAGGTTCCTTGTATTTGAAAGGAAATGTGCCTCATTTTTGTATAAACTGCCTACAGTCTCAATAACCTCGATTTTTCTTGTCTGAACTACTATATATATTTTTTTTTCTTGCTTTACTTTGTTGCTGATGCAGCCCCTGCAGTGCTGTGCTGCAGCTGACAGGGCTGGCCTGATCAGGAGCACTCATGTGATGATGCTCAGAGCTATTTCTATCCCCATCCTTGCACTGTGTGTCTCACTGCAGTGATAGTGCTCAGGGTTATTATTAGAGAGCTCCTCTACCTCCTTTGTATCCAGCAGCTGTGATTAGTGAGACTCTCAGAAAATGCATCTTTCCT